CTCTTAAAGTCAGTCTTTAAACATATGTATAGTGGTGAAGATGTAAAACTAGATTGTGATAATGGTTAAACAACTTATATGAATTTCCTAAAGAAAATCATTGAATTAGTACACTTAAAATAGGTGAATTTTATGGTAGATAAATTATATTTTTAAAAAGCTGTTTAAAAAGGTACATGAGGAAGCCCTTTATCAAAGCAGTAGTAAACATGATCATGTTTAAGCCCTCTTGTAATTAAAACAGGGTACCATTCTTTCCCTATTAGATTGACACCATTCTTTCCCTATTAGATTGGCAGCGTTGCTTTTTTGGCTTTTTTCTTTAACTATAATATGCATTTTAGGTTAGAGTATAAAGAAATGGCCATGGTGTGTTAAGTGAAAAGAATTAACTTACAAATTACTCTGTGCATCACATGAGAATTTCATGCATAAGGCTAGAAAGAGGCCTGCAAGAAAATGCCCCAAACTGTTCTACCTGGCTGATAGGCTTACAGATGACTTATTTTCTCTATAATTTTCACTTCATAATTTTTTTTCTCACTACCATGTATTCCTCTTGTAATTTTAATTCGTTTTCTAAATAATAAAAATAATTCGAATGATAGGAACTTTTTTATATGAACATTTTTAATTTTTTTTTAAAGATTCATTTATTTATTTGAGAGAGAGCACACGAGTGCCCCCATGAGCTGGGGGAGGGGCATAGGTAGAGAAACTCAAGCAGACTCTGTGTGGGGCCAAGGCAGGCCTTGATCCCATGACCCCAAATCATGACCTGACCCAAAATCTAGAGTTGGGAGCCCAGCTGACTAAGCCACCCGGGAGCCCCTATAAGAACCTTTTTAAGACACTTGATACATACTGCAAAATTGCTCTCCAGGAAAGTTGAACCAGTTACACGCCCACTAGCAATGTTCACTTACAGTTTTTGAGTCCAATCTGATTTTGTTTTAGTCTGCTCATATTTCTAATCATGTTATATCCCTTTTCATTATTTCCTTGGGGTTCCAACACTTCCCGTTAGTGTTCTTACGGAACCTCATTAGCAGCACAGAAGGATTCAAGCATTAACTAGGATAGACTTGGACCGAAACCTGTAAAAATGTATGTTATTATCTTTGCATGATTCCTATTTAATCAGGGGCGCCTGGGTGGCTCAGATGGTTAAGCGTCTACCTTCGGCTCAGATCATGATCCCAGGATCCTGGGATCAAGCCCCACATCAGGCTACCTGCTTGGCGGGGAGCCTGCTTCTCCCTTTCCCTCTAATGTTCCCCCTGCTTGTGCTCTCTCGCTCTCTGTGTCAAATAAATAAATAAAATCTTTAAAAAAAAAATCCTATTTCGGGGCACCTGGGTGGCTCAGTTGTTAAGCATCTGCCTTCGGCTCAGGTCATGATCCCAGGATCCTGGGATCGAGCCCCGCATCGGGCTCCCTGCTCCGCAGGAAGCCTGCTTCTCCCTCTCCCTCTCCCCCTGCTTGTGTTGCCTCTCTCGCTGCCTCTCTGTCAAATAAATAAATAAAAATCTTTATTAAAAAAAATCCTATTTAATAAAAGTTCCTCGGGAACAGAACTGGCCATTGATGATATTCTAGACCTCCTCGGTCAGTGTGGTTCTATCTCAGAGGGAACAGCAGATTTGAGTTGTATCTGGATTCATTGCAAGGTTTAATGAGGTTCCATGTAGGTTCAGATTAATTCACTGCCCTTTGCTTTCACTCTTCAACAACCAAGGAATCTACCTTCAGTTTGTGTCCTTATTTGTGTGATATACACACAAATTTCTTGTGTTATAAAATATCTACCAGAGGGGCGCCTGGGTGGCTCAGTTGTTCAGCGTCTGCCTTCGGCTCAGGTCATGATCCCAGGGTTCTGGGATCAAGCCCCACATCGGTCTCCCTGCTCCTCGGGAAGCCTGCTTCTCCCTCTCCCCCTGCTTGTGTTACTGCTCTCGCTGTGTCTCTGTCAAAGTAAATAAATAAAATCTTAAAAAAAAAAAAAATAGGGTGCCTGGGTGGCTCAGTCATTAAGCGTCTGCTTTCGGCTCAGGTCATGATCCCAGGGTTCTGGGATCCAGCCCTGCATTGGGCTCCCTGCTCAGCGGGAAGCCTGCTTCTCCCTCTCCCACTCCACCTGCTTGTGTTCCCTCTCTCGCTGTCTCTGTCAAATAAATAAAATCTTTAAAAAATAAAATATATATATATATATATACACACACACACATATACATACCAGAATAGGTATATTCTGGAAGTACTGTGAATGAATCTTTTTCTTCTGTACTTGAATCCCATTTTATTTTCTTTTTTTTAACGTTTATTTATTTATTAGAGAGAGCACATGAGGGGAGAGGTAGAGGGGGAGGGAGAGCACACTCCACTGAGCACAGAACCCACCACAGGGCCCGATCTCACAACCCCAAGGTCATGACCTGAGTTGAAATCAAGAGTCAGACATTTAACAGACTGGGACCCCCTGGTGCCCCTTGAATCCATTGTAAATGCACTAGGGGCTGTTACCAAGGTACACTTTTAGTAAAATAAAGCATCACTCCCTCTTTGTTTTTGTTTTATACACAAAATGTCACACTAAATTTGGTTGATAAGTTTCATATATATTCTCACTTTCCATTATCTCTGCTAAGAGATGACTAATGCAAAATATTGGATAATTTTTTTAAGTCAATACTTAATTTTTAGAAATAATTAGAGATTCAACTCTGACATAAATATTCACCCCGCTCAGTTCCTGGGCCTACTTATGTTAGAGAATAATCTATAAATAATTCACAAAGCTGGCATTACTCACTGTATTGTGATAATTTTTTGGGGAAAATTTTAGCAACTGTTCTAATAGAGCTTGCCAGTTATCAGTAGTTGGGAATGCAAGTCAGCTTTTAATTAAGCAGAGGCTGATTATTCAGACTACAAACTGGTCGTGTCCTGTACTGATTCTTCCTGCTGCCTGCCTTTTAGCATTTTCCCTGCTCATTAGCACATACTCCAGAAGGCAAGCATTGGACAGGGGAAAAGGAGGAGAAACCAAAACCTGCTAAATACTTACGAGAAGCTCTGATGAAAGGTTTCAATACAATTTGTAGGACTGTTGACTGAAATTGAGTCATTTGGATTCCCTGTGAATTTTATTTATTTATTCTATTCTTGTCCTCCATAGCAACAGATAATCGAATTGTCTGCAGAGAGACATTTTTCCTATATTTAATGTTTTCCTTTCTAGAACATTTCCACATGGTGGTTCATGATATTTTCTTTATTCATTACATTTGTCCCTAGACTGCTTCATTTCTTCGGTGATTGGTGGGTTGAGATTCCTGATGGTTTTTCAGTTATCCAGAAAAAAAGTTTTCTTCTGAAGTACGAGTATCTTTCATATTTCAACCAGTTTGGTTGAAGATACAATTTCCTCGTGCTTCTACCAATTGAACACAATTTAAGCCATTCTGGATGCCCAGGGTTATCTAGTGCATGCATCTTCCTGAGCTATGTATGGCTATTACAAAACCCACATAGATACGCCATCGGTCTAGAAACCTCTGGTTGAGGGAGATGTTACAGCGTAAAGCTTGAGTGGTACTAGGGTTTTTGTTTGCCCTAAGGCTCTTATTCTTATATAACTTTTCTTCCTCCTTCTCCTGTCACCCTGTCTCTTTTGCCATTGTCAGAGAACCTGCTTCTTATTAGTTCTCTGTTTCTCAACTGCTATGGGCTGAGAAACTGAATAACCAAGCCAGTTAAAACTGTGGCTAAAATAAGAGCAAATAGGACTGCATGAGAGGATAAAGAACTCCTCATCTATGAATATAAGTGTAGGAGCCTTGGTGCAGAAATAGCCTCACTGCTTAGAGGCCTTTTCCTTCCTTCCTAATTTTCAATCATGTAGTTAAATTGCTGGTTAATTGTGTTTCAAAGAAGAGATTGTTTGGGACATGAGACTGTCTTGAATAGAGCTTTTCCAGAGAGGTTTTTGTTTTTGGGTTTTTTCCCCAAAGATTTTATTTATTTATTTATTTTTAAAGATTTTATTTATTTGACAGCGAGAGAGGGAACACAAGCAGGGGAGTGGGAGAGGGAGAAGCAGGCTGCTCGCCGAGCAGAGAGCCCAATGTGGGGCTCGATCCCAGGACCCTGGGATCCAGACCCAAGCCAAAGTTAGACGCTTAACGACTGAACCACCCAGGCGCCCTGATTGATTGATTGATTGATTGATTTAAAGATTTTATTTATTTGACAGAGAGAGACAACAGCGAGAGAGCGAACACAAGCAGGGGGAGTGGGAGAGGGAGAAGCAGGCTTCCTGCTGAGCAGGGAGCCCGATGCGGGACTCGATCCCAGGACACTGGGATCATGACCTGAGCTGAAGGCAGACGCTTAACGACTGAGCCACCCAGGCGCCCGAGAGGTTTTTTCTCAATGACAACTACTGCTGGCTGATTTCCCACAAAGTTGGGACGGCAAAAATAAACAGGTGTGCTTAAGGAATATGATTTTTAAAAATATATTATAAACCTGTTTAGTTTGGGAGAATAATTAGGTTATTTGTTCTATTAACTAACCAAAAACCAGTTAAACAAAAGCAGCTTCAACTATAGAAGCCTTTGGGAAATAACCTCAGCAGGTACTCTGGGTTCTGTGTCCTGGTGAACATTATGAAACTATCTGTCTAGAAGGTTCCCGACTGATAGTTCCTTTATTATTTTTTTTAATAAATTCTAACCTTTGGATTTTTTTCTGGTGTTGAGACACAATGGTTAGGTTCCAGGATTCCGGTGGACTTTTCATGTGTTCATTTGCTTTGCTTCCTGGGGATGAGAGTTTGCTGTGAGTCATTTTCCATCTGATGTATATTGGATCCGGCTGTGGAGCTATGACTCAGATGGGTTTCAGGTCCAGTTGCCCAGCTCATCTTCTGAGGAATGGATGGTGAGGCCAAGATTAATGTCCTGACACATTTTTCCTTTCTCCTCCAGCACTTTCAGGATCTAAAGAGAACAGCGTTAGCAACAGCAGACAGGTCCGCCTTGCCACAGGCGTCTTCCCTGTTGTCAGCCTCCTGAACCATTCCTGCAGCCCCAACACCAGCATGTCCTTCATTAGCACAGTCGCCACCATCCGGGCATCAGAGAAGATTGGAAAAGGGCAAGAGATCCTCCACTGCTATGGTGAGCCCTCCCTCCTCATCACTGGCCACGCTTCTCTGGCAGGAAAGGACAGGGCGAATGAGAACGAGCAAACCCCCGGGACAGGTGAAGGCAGTGCATACTTAGGCCAAAAAAAAAAAAAAGGGCCTTCTGGCCTCCTCCCTTGGCCCTGTTTGTGTCTAAACTATCATGTATCTCCCTGCTTAATCCCATAAACTTCCTTTTCCAAAAAATGGGCTAAGAATAACTTTGGGTTTTTTTTTTTTCCTTGCAACTTGGAAGCTTATTTCTGTATCTAGCGCCACGAATGTTTGAGTAAAGGGGTACTTGTCACATGATGGAGAACCACCTCTGCTAAGCTCAAGTTTTGCAAGTAGTGCCCGACTCTCTGTTGCCGTAAACATTGGCCAGGTGTGGTCTCTCTGCAGGGCCTCACCGCAGCAGGATGGCTGTTGCCGAGAGGCAGCAGAAGCTCAGGGCTCAGTACTTCTTTGACTGCGGCTGCCCGGCCTGTCAGAAGGAGAAGCACCAGGCTGCGGTCGGGCCCCGGTGGGAGGCATTCTGTTGTGACCGGTGCGGAGCGCCCCTGCAGGTGAAGTTCTCTTCTTCCTTCTCTTCTCCACTTTTGCTGGAGGTCAGTCATCCAGCCCAGAGGCCATAAATCTTCAGGAGAGGCTGAGAGCCACAGTGTCTTCCCCGTCAGCCCATCCTGCCCACACACTGGTCACCCCTCCACGGGAATTCCCCCAGGAAAGGCTGGGTCTAGTCATCGGTCTCTTGGCAAATAACAGAAAATCCCCCCTAAACTGGTCTGAGGGAAAAGGGGGGGAAAAAAGACTTGAGAATTTATTTGCTCAAGTAAATCACTGAAAGGTCCCAGTGCGGGGGTATTTCAGCCAGCCGCTTGATCCAGGGGCTCAGATAACGTCACCAAGGCCCAATTTGTCTCTACCTGCCTCAGCTCCACTTTCTCAGTCAGTGCAGTCCCAGCCAGACTTCCCTCTGGTTGGGGCAGGACAGCCACCCGCAGCCCCAGCCTCACAGCCTCTGCTCCAGGGGGGTAAAGGCACGCGCTCCCCGACAGCAGTTTGGGCAAAAATTTTACTGCATTTCATTGACCTGATACCCGTGGCTGGTGGCAAATCGGACTCATAGTTTTCCTCCAGCCGTTTGGCCCCTAGGAATGGGTCAGATGCGAGCCACACGCCCACCCCCTCAGCCACCAGGCACTGACTCTGGGAAGGTAGGAGAGGATCCTCGGGAGAAATCATGTTGCCGTTGCCAAATGAGGGTCTAGATACTGGCATTTAAAAAAAACAGCACATGGGGCACCTGGGTGGCGCAATCAGTTGAGCATCTGACTCTTGATTTCAGCTCGGGTCATCATCTTAGGGTGATGGGATCAAGCCCCACACTGGGCTCCGTGCTGGGCATGGAACCTGCCTAAGATTCTCTCTCTCCTTCTCCCCTTGCCCCTCCCCCCCAAAAAATTAAAAATAAATAAGTGATAAATAAAAAATAAAAAACAGCAGAAGTCCACCTCAGATTTTCTCCTCTGCCAGAGGATACAGTATTCTTCAGGGAACCGTAAGTGTAATGTAGAGCTGGTGTAATGTAGAGCTAGCTGGTCGTGTTGTAAAGCTGAAGTTACAAACCCAAGGTCAAATATAGGGAGGCCTCACCTAGCATCTCTTCCTGTTGGTTTTCTTACGGTTTTGCTTTTTTTTTTTTAAGATTTATTTATTTATTTTTTTAATATTTTATTTATTTGTCAGAGAGAGAGCATGCACACAGGCAGGGGGAGCGGCAGGCAGAAGGAGAAGCAGACTCCCTGCTGAGCAAGGACTTGATTTCAGAACTTGATCCCAGGACCCTTGGATCATGACCTGATCCGAAGGCAGAGACTTAACTGACTGAGCCACCCAGGCATCCCTATTTATTTATTTGAGAGAGAGCACAAGTGGGAGGGCCAGAGCAAAGGGAGAGAGAATCTCGAGCAAACTCCGCACTGAGCATGGAGACTGATACAGGGCTTGATCCCACGACCCTGAGATCAGGACCTGAGCCAAAACCGAGTGTTGGACGCTTAACCGACCGAGCCACCCAGGTGCCCCTGGCTTTTGCTTTGGAAGTATAGTTGACACACAATGTCACATTAATTTCAGGTGCATAACAGAGTGATTTAACAACTCTATACTAATGACTTCTTCATAACCACTGTCTGTCATCCAAAGTTCTGGATCCAGAGACACAGGAGAGGGGTATAGAGATGGAAAGAAACTGTGACCTGTACCAGTTTAATTTTGGTTGCAAAAATTAAATCTCAGGGAGGGACCGCCTACTGCTTTCATTAGAGTTGCTGCTGTCAAACTCAATCGAGTCAGGCTTTGGTCATGGTGTATTATTAGGGGCGTTTCTTTGCCCCACAGGGTCGGAAGCTGCAGAGCGACCCTCTAATGTAAAACACATGCCGTGTTGCTAACCAACTGTGGTACAGGAATAAAGACAAAACTGACTTTCACAGGGAGGTGACATTCTGAGCTGTGGCAGCACATCCTGTACGGAACCAGTCAGCAGGGATCGCCTCATCCCCCGGTTACAGGACCTTCAGCTGCAGGTTGGGCAGGCCCGGAAGCTTTTCGGAAGTGGTCAGCTAGGTGAGACTGGCTTCCTGCTTTGGTCCTCCAGCCCCTCCCTTTTTATTTATTCTGGGCTCACCTTGGACTCGAGGCTACTCAGTGATGATTGAAGAATTACATTTAATTATCCCCGTGCCAGCCACAAGATGGCTACGCAGGCCCATGAGACTGAGCCCTAACCGGCTGAGTTTGTGTGGTGTCCCTGAAAAGGGCCCGATGATTTAAGCTGTTGTTCTCCTGGGCGTCAGGGAGCTCAGTTAAAGTACCCCAGGATGACTAAAGGGTTATCTCTGACATCCATGATCTTTGTGCAGATCCAGAAGTTCGGTGTCATTTATTTTAATTCCAGGGCCTAATGACCTGATTTCCTAGAGAGATTGCTCTGCTCTCCTCAGAGCCTCATCTCTTCTAGAGAGCAGTGGAACAAGTGCCCGGTGGATAGAAGTATCCTGCTGTTTTCAGAGAGACTTGTGGAACTCCACATTTTGCTTACAAATTCTGCCTTAGAACTTGATGTCGTAGGAATTTATTTACCCGACTTTGTAAAAGTTGACCTTTAACTTAGATTTCTGAGTCAAGAGAAATGATGATTGTAAGTGGAATCCAGGCCACTTGAAGTTGGAAACCCAGCGTCAATGTGGGGAGGCCTCACCTCACACCTTTTCTGCTGAAAGAGAAACTGTGAGGGAACAACAGCTTTATCGGAACAAACATTGTGGGTCGGTCACGACAAGGAGACAAAGTGGGGTTTCCGCAATCAGCCCAGCCAATATGGAACTTAACAGCTGGGTTCTCATTTCTAGGCCTGGGTTTGTGTAGTAATGAGGCCACCTTCCTTTGCATTGATAGAGCGAGCCATTCAGCTGTTGTTGGGGTGCCGGCACGATGCTGAGAGCTTCCTGTCAGCAGAACACAGCATGGTAGGAGAAATGGAGGATGCCCTGGCCCAGGCCTACGCTGCCTTAGGTAAGGCACATGTCTTTATCTTCTGCTCCGAGGACCACGTTTGCCTTGTGCTTTTGGTCACGAGCCCAGCCTCATCTGGTTGGTCTCCTCCCAGTCTTTCAGCTGAAGCTATTCTCACCTTCCACTGAGCTTTCCTCATCCTGAAAACACTCACCCAAAACAGTTGACTGTGGTTCTTTTCTGGAACCAGATTTCTCTTTCTTTACAGGGGACTGGCAAAAGTCAGCTACCCATCTCCAGAAGAGTCTACGAGTGGTTGAGGTTCAGCATGGGCCATCCAGTGTTGAAATGGGCCATGAGCTCTTCAAACTGGCCCAACTCTTTTTCAACGGGTAAGTCTTTCTCTGGGTTCCTAACACCCTCTAGGCCACACACTGTCTTTTATTAGGCTCTTCTGGCGTTACTTTTCTCCTATGGTGCTTTTAAGCATGTGGAAACTTCCTTTATTTCTCCTTGGGGAAAGATCCTTTCCTTCTGTTTTGCTGACAAACTTGAAGCTTTAGAATTTCCTCCTGAGTGATATGGGGAAAGCTCTTAGCACTGAAGGGACATTCCTAGGGGGAAGTTGCCAGGTGGTCCCACCACCCGCATCCCGGCAGCTCTCAGCCCTGTGCTTCCTCACGCCTCCCTCACCGCCCTCTTTCTCAGCACACCTTCAACTCCGGGGGCTCTTCCTTCCCCCATCCTGTTCCTTTTAAAGCAGTTGTTTTCAACCAGGAGTAATTTTGCCCCCAGGGGATATTTGGCAATGTCTGGAGACATTTTTGGTTGTCATGATTCAGGATAGAGGCCCAGATGCTAGTAAACATCCTGCAATGCACCGGACAGCCCCCCCACAGCTCAGAATTATCCAGCCCAAAATAGCAATAGTGTCAAGGCAGAGAGACCCTGCTTTGTAGGTTTAGCGGGAAGAACAGTAGGTGTTGATGTCATTGGGAGGCCCTATTTCTAGATGGAATACTTCCTTCCAGCCTTGATAAAGCTGCCATTGGTGCACTTTGCGGTGAGGCAATGTTTGAAGCTGGATCATAAGATTATGAATGGTTTGTGGACCTGATACCCAAGACATAGAGGCCGCCCATTTGGTCAAGAGAACAGGGCTGCAGAGTCAGGTCTGGGGTGGACTTGGTTACCTGCAGGTGAAGACTCCTGAGGAAACCATGGGATAAATCCCAGATTGAACACCTTGAGATTTGCCTATTTCTCAGGACCTTAGAATCTTTCTGCTTTTTCTCATAACTTTGTTTTCAAACTCTGCCTTACAGTGTGTTTGTGAAGGTCTTTCCCCTACCCTTCTAGATTGTGAGATCCCTGAGGACAAACTGTTCTTAGATAACTTCGTATTCTTCACAGGGTGGGAGTAGGCCCTTGATTAATGTTGACTTGACTGAATGAGTGGCTTCACTCCTTTTACCTCCTTCGGTTCAGGTTTGCAATCCCAGAAGCACTGAACACAATACAGAGGGCAGAAAAGGTTCTGATGGTGCACTATGGCCCTTGCAATGACGAGATCCAGGAGCTACAGAAGATGAAATCTTGTTTATTGGACTTGCCACCCATCTCATTGGGGCCTTCAGTGTAGGAACCCAAGGTTTTCTTCAGATAGTTAACTACCCTCCCGTAAAAACTCCCAGTTCCCAGAAAAGACTTGAAACTGGTGTCTGGAGAGCCTAAACCCTTTAAAAGGATTTTAGCTGATCTGCAGGCATCTGGATGTTAGCCTGGGGTTTTGGCTAGACTCCATCTCACTAAATGATGATAGTCTTTCCCTGGAACATTCCTGTGGTTTCTAGTAGTAATGACATGTTATGTACCACTCCAGTGGGAAGTTACGCTCTTAGTAGTTGTGTTGTAATTGAAAAATAATTATAAAGCAAGAAATCACCGAGGCTCCTTACCTCTAGAGACACCATTTCATGTATCGGATCTAGCTTTCTCGAATCCTTTGTTAAAACTGGTACAGTGTAAATTGTGAATGGAGAAATAAGTATGGGGCCACTTTATTGTTGGGCAATCTCTTCCTGGGATGGCATCTCTAAATTTGTCTCCTACCAGTTTTCCAGTCCTTATTATCTGCCTCTCATTCTGTACTCTTGGCAGACCCGCTGACCAAACACTAATAGAATCATTGCTGCTTGTGGTTTCAGACTCCAGCGACAGAAGGGAGGGGTGATAGCTCTTTCCTGCCTGGATGTGTAGAGCAATAGTCTAGATTTCCATCCTGGCCAGAAGGCTGGGAGACTCTCTGTTCTGAACCCTGATTGCCATATCACCGTCCGTGACCGAGTGGTTCCAGTGAGTTAGTGGAAAGGAACGTCAGGTCCACGCTGCTTTGACAGCTTGCCCTCCCTGGACTGCCCAAGAAGTCCCTGCTGCTAGCCTCAGCATTATCATCAGGAAATGAATAGCCTGGAGATGTCTGGCAGTAGCTTTTCCGGAAACTGAGTGTTTAGAACACAGTTTACATTCAAAAACGTGTGAGTGAAGGTCAGGCAGAATCTCATTTATTCTTCTCTCTACTAATTCACTGTGGCAAGGCAGTGGCCAGTGAGATTTTTTTTTCATGGAGATAAATTTTTCTTCTTGAAAATTTAGTCCTGAGGACAGCTCTGTATTCTGTTCCAAACACTTGTCATGTTTCATGTTCCTAAAAAAAGGTCCTCTTATACTCTGTAAAATAGGCATGCTTCCTTAAAAAGAATGTGTTTAGAATTTTCACATATCAGGTTCCCATTTTAGGTGTACTTGGGAGCTTTCCTTAAATGCTTTATGAAACATTTCCTTAAGTTACAGATTACATCTCTTATCTGTCCATGTGTTATCCTGTGTTGTCAGGTGACATTAGCTTGACTGGGGGATATCTGTGCTTGCATGAAAAGCTGAAGTTTTGGGGCGCCTGGGTGGCTCAGCCGGTTGGGCATCTGCCTTCGGCTCAGGTCGTGATCCCGGGGTCCTGGGATCGAGCCCTGCGTTGGGCTCCCTGCTCAGCGGGGGGCCTGTTTCTCCCTCTCCCTCTGCCTGCCACTCCCTCTGCTGTGCTCTCTCTGTCAAATGAGTAAGTGAAATCTTAAAATAAATAAATAAGCTAAAGTTTTGGGGGGCACCTGGGTGGTGCAGCCAATTCTTGGTTTTGGCTCAGGACGTGGTCTCAGGGTCATGAGATCAGGCCCGGCGTCAGGCTCAGCACAAAGTCTGCCTGAGATTCTCTCTCCCTCTCCCTCTGCCCCTCCTGCTCATGTGCATGTGCTCTCTCTCTAAAATAAAATAAATAAATTTAAGAAAAAAAAAGCCCTAAGGTTTGATTTATTTAAAAGCATACCCCACTGATTGTGGGGGCAGGAGATCCCCTCTTGCAAGCATTAGTGGTCCTAGTGCGTAAACGCTCCCAGAGCAGAGAACCCGCCCTACATCATACAGTGAGGGTAACTCAGGGTTCTTACAAGTGGTGACTTTCTGCAGAGTTTAGAGAGACCAGGCTCTAAGTAATAGGATCAGCAAATCACAAAGGGGCTATTTATCTTCATATTAAACTTAACATAGCTCAGAACAGAATGAGAAACAGGGCAACAAAAGTTAAGGATAAAGCACTTTTATTGCAAAGTATACACTGAAACATTGTAGGGGCAGCCTTCATGTAATAATGTAATCTGCCATCCCTCGAGGGTTTTGTTCTTCCAGGCTATTTGAACATTAAACTGGAGCATTAAATACCCCTGGGGTCCAGAATTTTGCCTATGAAGAGAAGGGCCCCTGTGTCTGTGTCTCTCAGTACAAAGATGAAAGGTTGATTGAGGTGATAGTCCAGGGGAAAGGTGAGGCGGGCAGGCTGGAGCCCCGGGCTGGGGGTGGTGCCTGCCCCATCCTCATTCCACTCGAAGCCAGATCGATGTTCCACTTGGGTAAGTTTAATAGGTTTGCCTGTGATCTTGCTAAAGTCTGGCGAATCAAACAAGGATTGCAGTTCTGCAGAAATTGAGAGAGATTTCCATTAAAACCCTGCCTTACCCAACACCCCTCGGAAGAATAGAGTCCACTTGGATGGGAGTCCTGATTCTCAAGAAGGCAGGCAAGCTGGGAGTACAACACCACTTTGGACCCTCGGTGAGGTCTGTAGACCTCTGGGCTGGGTAGGGCTTAAGTTCAGAGAGTTGTTGCTATTCTTTTCTTCGATCTCCTGTTGCATTCATAGGTGTTCAGAATGGTTTGATCCCTATCCAGCTGAATTCCTGAGACCAGTTGAAATTTAGGTCTCCTACTCCTCCGCCATCTTGCTCTGCCCCCCGGGTAGGGCTTAAGTGACTTGCCCAAGAGCACACAGCAAGTGAGGTTAAGATTAAAAACCAGCTCTGGGGCGCCTGGGTGGCTCAGTCGTTAAGCGTCTGCCTTCGGCCTAGGTCATGATCCCCGGGTCCTGGGATCGAGCCCCACATCGGGCTCCCTGCTCAGCAGGGAGCCTGCTTCTTCCTCTCCCTCTGCCTGCCACTCCCCCTGCTTGTGCTCTCTCTCTCTCTGTCAAATAAATAAATAAAATCTTTAAAAAAAAAAAAAAAGATCAAAAACCAGCTCAACAGACCTGTCGAGAGACAGTGTTCTGTTACAAGATATATACTTCTGGGGCTGAGGAATGTGTCTGATAAGAAAGGCAGTTCAGGGGCGCCTGGGTGGCTCAGTTGATTAAGCGACTGCCTTCGGCTCGGGTCATGATCCTGGAGTCCCGGGATCGAGTCCCGCATTGGGCTGCCTGCTTAGCAGGGAGTCTGCTTCTCCCTCTGACCCTCTCCCCTCTCATGCGCTCTATCTCATTCTCTCTCTCAAATAAATAAATAAAATCTTGGGGAAAAAAAAAAAAAGCAGTTCAGGCTTCCCCTCCAGCACTGCTAGAATTAAGGAATCATCCATGGCCTCCCCACAAAGCCATAGAGCCCTTGAGTGCTGCTTAGCACGGGTGGAAAGCTCAAAGGCTCAACTCCACCCACCCAAGAGCAAAGTGGTCTTGCAGACATACTCATCTCCTGCAGGGACTTAGTGACTTCGCCTTCATAACTCAGCTTCAGCTTGGGGATGGTCAGGACCGCCTGAATAGTCTTCAGTTCTCGGTCGATGTCATGAATGAACTCAGAGGTGAGGCTCTCTTCTATCATGGTCAAGTTCTGGGTTACTTTCAGAGGCAGGAAAAAGATGATACTCATGCGGCCAGTCAGGGGCAGCTGGGCAATCTGAAACAATAGGGAGGGAGCACATGGGTTAGTCCCTTGGAGCCCAAGAGCCCGGGGCTCGACACACACACTCCACGCTGCCTTCTCCTCTCCTACGGTGGTCCCTGGCTGTGCTGTCCCCAGCCCCTAATCTATTTAACAACTGTCCCTCTTGGCCGTTGCCTTCTGGCAGCAAGATGTTTACGGAGGTTCCTTCAAAAAAGTAGACTGTTGTCTTTTCTTACTTTGGCCTAATACCAACTGAAGTTAGGTGCTGAAAGAATTTTCTCCTGTGGTTCAAGGAGCTAGAATTGAATTCCAGGTCTGTGTTTTCTCCCAAAGATTGTCTGCCAATAGTGACTGATCATCTGTTATATACAGAGCCCTGGACTAGAAGTGGGGGGTGTTGAGTACAGCAACCCAGAAGCAGTAAAACAAAAAATGGGTCTTTAGGGGCGCCTGGGTGGCTCAGCTGGTTGAGCGACTGCCTTTGGCTCAGGTCATGATCCCAGGGTCCTGGGATCGACCCGCACATCGGGCTCCCTGCTCGGCGGGGAGTCTGCTTCTCCCTCTCCCGCTCCCCCTGCTCGTGCTCTTCTTCACTGTCGCTCTCTGTCTCTCTGACAAATAAATAAATAAAATCTATAGAAAACAAAACATAAAATGGGTCTTTTGAGCAGAGGTTCTTAACCTTAGGTCCATGGGACAAACAGCATCAGGAGTCCTAACAGCCCCTGAAACCACTTATGGAAATATGTGCATGTGCATACGTGACATTTCTCTCAAGTGTTTTAGGCGTTTTGTCCGATTCCCAAAGAAGAAGGTTTAAGAACTACTGACTTACAAATAAAAGATGTTAGGTATATGTGAAAGACTTAGAATGCCAGCAATTTGGAGTGTGTGACAGGTTTTTTTTAAGTTTGGCTTTGAATTCTAGAAATAAAAGTCCCCCCCAAAGAAAGAAAAGGAGAGGCAGAGGAAGAAGGGGAAAAAAGACAAGAAAACACCAACATATGAGTTGCCCAGTCTCAGCCCATTTCACGTTATCTGTTAATCCTTACAACAAACCCTAAGAGAGTAAGTTTCGATACCTAGCCTTCGTTTTAAGAAGAAAGGCTCAGAGAAGCTATTGACTTGCTGAAAGCCACACAGCAGGCAGAATTTAGACAGCTGTCCCATCTCAAAGGTCATCCTATTTCCACTATGCCATCCTGCCTGTCTCTGTCCTCCCCCGACCCGCCACTCACCCGGGCCCTACAGACCTTGCAGTTGAGATCAGAGTCCAAGCCATAGCGTAAGATGGCCTTAGGGTCTGACATCATGGGGACTGTCACGGTCCTCTCCTCATCCAAGTGGAAATCCTGAAGGGAAGTCTTTCTGGAGTCGAACTTTGTTACCCACTGCCCTGGAATGAAACAGATGGAGTGCCCTGAGCCCCAGGAGACCAGGCAGGCATCGGGACCATGCC